AACAGAAAAAGGTTCTGATATTGGGTGTCAGAGATACTGAAAACTAGTGCTATACTGTATTTATAGTTCCCGGCTTGTACAGTGAACCGCAAGAAGTGAGGCATACCTGTCATGTTTTGTTTATGGGTGATTATGAATTTATGGATCCATATGAGTTTGGATGTTATCGTACCAACAAGCAAACCAAGTAAAATGCTGTCACTCACAGGTATTTTTCAGTAGAACAGGGTGAACAGCAGCCAGCAGGGTAAACAAGGTGTTTGCGAGCGATGTGAAAGAAATATCAAAGGGCAGCGATGGCAGAAACATTGCTATTTAAACATGTGTGACAAGATGTGCTTTGATCACGCTTTTGAAATTGCTTGTGAATGTGTTTATTGAGCTGCAGCAATTGAATTGGAGTATTAACATTGTGGATCATTATACTAGGAAAATAAGGGCTAGAATTAGGTCTAGGTTAGGGTTTAGGGTTAACATAACTAAAACGTTCCTTTTCAAGTCATGCAATTTCAAAAGGCTAGTCCTCCAACATGGCTATTCATCTCCTAATTATTTAAAAAAATATATTAGCCAAGTCCTTGAGACCCATTTGAGGAGAGCATGTTTTTCACTACTGATTTATACTCGGGTATATCCTAGGAAAATAAGGGCTAGAGTTAAGGTTAGGGTTTAGGGTTAATATAACAAAAACCCTTATTTTCAAGTTGTTGAAAGAATATTCCTCACTTCCTTTTAAGCCTCGAACGAGCTTATCCACTTGGTAATTTGTTTAAAAAAATCTATTAGCCCAGTCCTCGAGACCCCCTTGAGGTCGCCATGTTTTTTACTACCGACTTCTTCCACGTCTGTTCCAATTAAGGGCTACACATTAACCTGACACCTTAATCAGATCAGGTGTGTACGAGCTCGGCTCAAGAGCACACTGGAGGACTTGAAACAAATCCTTGCATGTGTGGTTAAAGGTCAGTAAACAGCATACAGCTTAAATCAGCCCCATGAATCATTCATCGTTTACTGGTGCGGGGATTTATGCCAAGGAGCAGGAGGCCATTCTGCCATTGTCTCCTGAAACTTTTCGTATGGTGCTCGCTTTTAATAATTTGTTGACATGCCCCTGCTGTTGTAGAGAAAATAAAAGTGACCTCACTCTGTGGTGCAGGTCAAGCAGCATCTAATGAAGCCCCCAAAGTCTTTCAGCATTGATCTTTTTTTTACCCGTTTCCTGGCTAGAATGCAGAGTTGTTAAGCGTTGCCATGGGGGATGGCCCCGGGTACGAGGCGGCATCTCCCAGAGCCAGTTATACCTCGGATTCTGCAAACACAATTACTTCTCTCTCTTAGTACATCGTTATTTGTGTCTCCTTCTAACACAGATCTTGAGTTGTCGTAGTGATTTCTAAGAATTAGTCTTTTCCAAGATTTTCCTGGATCTAGGAGGTAGATGTTTTTCGGGAATGAAGAAGAACTGCCGTTTTACATATATAACTTTGGGCTTGCGTCCAGAAGTGCTGTGACATTCTCAAATAGTTCATCAGTCAACGGAGTCACGCTACTCTCTCTAGTCTTCATATTCTGATCAGACCTGACGTGGATGGCATTTAAGTCTAAATACCACATGGCATATGTCACTTCTAGAGATACGGTTGTAATAAAGATTCATTACGAAGGTGTGAGGCGGCATTAAGATGCATGGCGCTGCACTGCATGTCGTGGCAGATTAAAGATATGAAGATTAAGGGAGAGACCGCATTATACTGTTGTTATTCTTAATAACCTGCTTAGTTTGGCTCATAGCCCTATGCTCATCAATAATGCATATGACCTGCAGCTGGCCAGCGCACTGCTCTGACAGTGTGAGAGGGCTTAAAAGTGTGTGTGTGTGTGTGTGTGTGTGTGTGTGTGTGAAGTGTGTGTGTGTGTGTGTGTGTGTGTGTGTGTGTGTGTGTGTGTGTGTGTGTGTGTGTGTGTGTGTGTGTGTGTGTGTGTGTGTGTGTGTGTGTGTGTGTGTGTGTGTGTGTGTGTGTGTGTGTGTGTGTGTGTGTGTGTGTGTGTGTGTGTGTGTGTGTGTGTGTGTGTGTGTGTGTGTGTGTGTGTGTGTGTGTGTCTGTGTGTGTCTGTGTTTGTGAGTGTGTGTGTGTGTGTGTGTGTGTGTGTGTGTGTGTGTGTGTGTGTGTGTGGAAACTCTCCAAGTACATTTGAATATGTGTGCCCCATGTACGCTTGTCCTCAATGACTTGTGCAACATTTATATGTGATGTATTTGAACCTGTTTGACTGATTTATGTTACCCGATCCATGTATCTTTGAGCGGAATATTCCGCCCTCACACACTCAGACTGTGATATATCATCAGCCTGACATCAGCGCTTTTTGAGGAGTTATGATTTAGTTTTTACGGAGCACCTACTTTCTCTCTTTCCTGTCTACATCTACTTCACATTATTTCACACAGCATTTCCCATAATACATTTTTAAAGAATGAGAGAATTAGGGTAAACTCGTCGGCTGAGACTTTTATTGGAGGAAGAATTGGGGTCCGCCCTTCTTTTTCTGTTGGCCTATTGTTTACCAGCAATTGAATTAAACAATAATGGGGCTCTAATAATAAAACATTTTTATACGATGATATTTGGGTTTAGTATATAACTAGCACAAACAATGGAGATTTTTTTCTTAAGTTTCATTAACTTATTTAGAAATGTGCATTCGCCAATCACATTCACTGATGGTTTCGACCTACCATCAAAAATACTGTGTGAAACTTCATAATTACGCTGCTTATTTAAATGTGCTCTGGGCAGCTATATAGCTCAGTTTGTAGATTTGGGGGCCTACATTATGTACTGGAGTTTAATCCGCATGCAGAGCTGGGTTCAAAGCCTGCCTAGGACCATTTGCTGCGAGTGATCACAAGAAATCTTATAGATTAATAAATAAATGTCATCTTACAATGTATGAAGACTTATTTGATTATATTTATGTGCACACCTCTTCATTAAGTATCTTATAATAAACTGCAATGACCTGGTCAAGGTCTCCTCCACAACCATAAACCCCTGCGTTCCATCTTCCTCTCCCTGCAGTATTCATGTATTAGTTCTGTGTTGACTGTATGGTTGCTTTGACATACAGTATGATGATGTTCAAATGTGCTGTTCATTTCAAAATGAGTTGAATATGTTGCTAATAACTATTAAGCAAACCGTTCCTGACAATTTCAATAAATGCAAAACCAATTGTCAGGGTTGAGTGAGGCAAGTAGGACCCAAATGCAGATAAACAGAAAATACCTTTATTTTAAGGCTACCGATACAGAGCTGAACCCTCTTCCCCGTGAACACAGTCCAACTACAACAAGGAACTACACTGACAGCTAGGGATGCTCCGATCGATCGGTCACCGATCGAGATCGGCCGATACTCACGCTCTGCCGATTGATCGGTGCTCTCTAAAAATGCCGATCGCGAGAGCCGATCGCATGACGTAAAATACATGACAGTTTTCTCTGTGTGCGGCAAAACAAGCTCGCCAAAAAAATTGTCGATCGGAGCATCCCTACTGACAGGGGCACAGCGGAGGACCCAGAAGGGGTCTTGGGCGGACGGGGGGCAAGGCAGAGTCCATGGTGGGGCGAAGGCCCCGGCTCAAAGAGACAGAGGGCTAGGGAGCTCGAGGGCGAAGACCGCGGCTCTCAGGGGGCCGGGCTCGAGGGCGAAGACCAGACAGCTCCGGAGGCCAGGCAGGACCCGGTGTCGGCCGAACAGGAACCGGAGCCGGTGGGACAGGCTTCGGCAGGATCCCCCACGGAAGAGGACCAGGAGTTGGCAGGACCCCCGGCAGAAGAGTTGTCTGCGGGACCCCTAGAGGAACAGGACATAGGATTGGCAGGACCCCCGGCAGGAGAGTAGTCGGCGGGACCTCCAACGGGACTGGACATGGAGCTGGCAGGACCCCCAGCGGAACCTTGAACCCTGGACGCTCCCATCGATCGATCAGAGCAGGTAGCCAAAGAAAAGGTAAAAACCAACAATTCCTGCTCAAAAGGATCGGCTGGGCACATATTTGGTTGGTTCGTACTGTTACGGTGGGGTGAAGCAAGCAGGACCCAAATGCAGATTACTAGTGATGGCAGTTTGACACTGAAGCTTCGAACGGAGCTTCAACCCTGGACTTCCTATTCCATAGAAGCAGTGCTTCGAAGCTTGCTTCAAATCACGTGACATGTGACGTCCGAANGACACAAATGATTTCCTGTACATTTATATCTGAATCATGATTCTTGGAAAGCTATATACATATTTCAATATTTATTCAATTTACATACAGCTCTAATATATGGATTCCTGATATGCGGCATTGCGGCATGCATACAGCAACTCTAAATGTCACATTGCCATATTGTAGAGAAAAGGTGTTGAAACGAACATATGAATGACGAATAAACAGCAAGTAAAAAATACAGTAACCCTGGAAAACACTCGATAGTATTTACTTCTTTAGTAACATGATTTCACACAAACATGATAGAGAAAATAGGGATAATAAGGGCTCATTAAATCAGGTTATACCCTTTTTAGAAAGTCGGCTGTGATGCTCATTAATATGGAGTAACCCGCCACCTGTGGAGCATGGACAACTCGCAATCCCATAAAGATTGCATTGGGCGACAGCACAGGGAGCCAGGGGATTGAACGTGATGACAGAGGGGAGAGTGTGGGACAGACAGAGCGGGAGGATGGGAGACACTGCGCATGAGTAAACTGAATGAACAAACAAGAAGACTGATGTCTTCAGTTACCGTGCTTTATAGATATTCAAAGCGTGGCCCTGCATTCATCACACCACTCCTGCCGTGGTGGTGTCACTGCAACACATTGGGTAGGCTAATGGTGGAGGTTCAGGGTGGGGGGTGGGTCTGCGTTAGCATAAGGGTTTGTGAGGTGACAACTAGGAATGGAGCGTTCATGTGTTTGGAGATGACAAACAATGAATTGTGAAGAATGGGGGATGTCTACTGTAAGGAGAATGAGGAGCTGTTCAGCTACCCTCCCTCTGCCACACTCACACATCCTTTCTCGCAGCAGAATATTGTCAAGTCTGCCAACTCCCTGATACAGGAGGGATGCTATTCATTAACACTGTGGACTGCTGAAACTCAGCCTGTCTTTTTCTCTAGAGGACTCAGGCAGAAGCCGAGGGGCAAGGCGTCAGAGGTGGGAATGAGACTGGCACCTCCCGGAGAAGGTGGAAAGCACACCGGGGTGGGATGACACCGGGGCAGCAGCGTTGGGAGACTTTCTATAAATCACAGTGTCTGCATCAGAGCTAACGCCATAGCCGGTTCAATGACACTCTCGTTTACGGTATGCCGATGAGTCATGCCGTTCAAATGGGCTGTCACTCGCACTGAAGCTCAGGGACCGGGAGACGGCGAACAAACACTAGTGATTAGCATTAAAGATGTAGCTGTTTCCGAAATGTCTAGACTTGCAGTGGAGCGTCAACAGTCACGCTGGGCTGGAAGACTTTACCGTTGTGAGTGAAAAGATAGTTGAACCTGGTTTTATTCTGTTTTTCTTTTTGAGCAGGGACAAAACATAAAATAAATGAAGCAGGAGATATCGATCTATTTGAGATGTGTTACTAGAGTATGAATAAAAGAAATGTTGTAAGATCCCCTGGTTTTACAGCAGCCAGCTTGCCATACAATTCTCAGTAAACAGTCACTTGATTTTATGAGGAGTTTTATCCATGCCTCTGAGGTATAACTGCGGTGCCATATATTGCTGTCTCATAATATGTTAATATGCATTCCAGCTTTGGTTTCCCAGCTAGTATGTTTGCTTAATTGATCGAATCAACGAGGCACGTTTCCACCAGAAGAGCTCTGGAGGGACCCTCCTACGGTTGAGATTTGATCAACTGAACTTTTGTTCATCTATTGACTCTAACGGAAGCAATGCAGCTCACATGGGAAATCTCTGCTGCAGCGAGACACGTTCTGCAAACATGAGATCGTCATATTCTGTCACTCAACGCTGAACCAATATCCCCGTATGCCATGCTCATATCAAACAGCAGAGTGATTCAAAGACAAGAAATGCTTAAAGTCTATCGTACCTACAGCAAAACATTTTTGCGCTATAGCTTTTGCACATTCCTCACGTTGAAGCCCCCCTAAGACCCAACGAATCGTAACAACAGCATATGCAGAATACATCAATTTTTGTAGTAGCAGCTGCTGCTTTGTGATTTCAGATGTGAATGTTTGGATATCCATGTGGCTCAGTTTGAATAAGATTGTTCCCTTTAATTTCTTCTGCCTTGACAAACTGATACTTTACATACAGCCTGCTGATGTGTCCCTGGACCTTCTGGCAACAATGTGTGAATGCTGAAATGTGCCTCATCATCATCATTATATCACAGTGAAGACATCTGTGACTCCCCCTCAAACTGTCAGGCCACTAGTGGAAGCAAGAAGTCACGGAATGAGAATTTAATTTCAATCTTAGCTTTGTAGTTTGCTAACGACAGCTAACAGGCAAAGCAGCCAACAGAAGCTGACTGGCAGACTTATACAAGGTGGCTATAGGCCTACATAACGTTTATAATCGGAGCTCATTATAACGGGTCAAACACTAAACAACAAGCTTTTATCAACAAATGTTTGTGTCCTTAACTATAATATATGGTTTGCTACTTTATTACTTTTATAGCAACTTTCAAGTTATGTTTCAAGAATCCTCCCATTTTATTCCATACAGTATGAAAATCAGTAAGAAGACAATTCCTGCCTAATTTACTCCTATAATTAGGTCATCATTATTAGGTCATCATCGGCCCCCCACCCCGTACCAAAGCCATCCAGAATTTCAACTTCACTCTTGACAGGAACACTCTATCTCCCCCCCTCACATCCGCAACCTCGGAGTCATCTTCGACAGTCAGCTCAAATTCAATCACCACATCAATCACATCACCAGGACCGCCTTTTTCCACCTTGCCCGTCTCCGCCCATCACTCTTCTCCTTTGCTGCTGAAACCCTGATTCATGCATTAATCACATCACGACTCGACTACTGCAATAGCATCCTCTACACCGGCATACCATCCAACCTCCTCAATAAACTCCAACATATCCAGAACTCTGCTGCCCGCCTCCTCACCCACACCCGCTCCCGACACCACATCACTCCCGTCCTCCAGAACCTCCACTGGCTCCCCGTCCGTCAAAGAATCAACTTCAAAGTCCTCCTCTTTACTTACAAAGCCCTCAACAATCAGGCCCCCCCCACCTCACAGACCTGCTACACCACCACACCCCTTCCCCCTACCTCACAGACCTGCTGCACCACCACACCCCTACCTCACAGACCTGCTGCACCACCACACTCCTTCCCCCTACCTCACAGACCTGCTGCACCACCACACCCCTTCCCCCTACCTCACAGACCTGCTGCACCACCACACCCCTTCCCGCTGCCTCCGCTCATCAGAAGCCAACATCCTATCCATCCCCACCCGCACCAATCACCGGACCTGGGGGGACAGAGCCTTCTCCGTCGCTGCCCCCTCCCTCTGGAACTCACTCCCCCAACCCATCAGAGACTGCACNTGTGATTGTTTTTGTATTATTTGACTTTAACTTTAACTATATATTTATTTGTTGTTCCTTTCTTCTCTTTTCTTTTCTCTTCACTATTATCTGTGAAGCGTCTTTGAGCACCTGTAAAATCGCTAACAAATTAAATCTATCATTATTATTATTTTATTATATAAGTACAGTCCATTTACCATTTAACAAAAAAACATTACCCACTTTTACTTTTCGAAATTGGAACAGCATAAAGAAAAATTAAAGCTTATAAAAAGAAACACGTAGGATAATTTAAGATAAAATATAACTTCATGATTCATTTTGATTTAAATTTCTTGCTGCTATTCAATAAAACCATATTGACCCTCGGAGCAGCACAACAAGCTGAAAACCAGATGAACATGCTATCATAGCACATCAATCCAAACATCGAGAATATATAGAGCAACATCAGCATTCACTGGATGTTTTGTTTTCCAGTTACTGGCTGCAAAATATTAAAGTAGTATTGGCTAGTTAGCAAAATGCTCATAGTTTCTTTGCAAAGATTATACAAACTGTCCATTTCACAATCTACTGGGAGCGAGGCCAAAATGCAGGTCTTAATATTTTACTCTTTTGCCCTTTTGTTTATATGTATTGAAAAAGACAAATTAGCGCAAAAAAAACCAGAACAATAAATATTATTTTGAAGAAAAAAAAGACAGCAAGGATATCTTCTCTAGATAGGTAAGTACTGATCAAGGAAACATGGCTGATCAGAGCAATAAGAATGCACTAAAATAGAAAAACATAAAAAAGGAACTGCAACATGCTAAAATGCTCAATAGAGATACAGGGAACTGAAGAGTCGGATAAACACTCTCTGTTAGTCACCACAAACAACGCTCTTCCCTTCAAATGTATCTGACCCAATATTAATATCAAAATATGGATGAGTGCAGCGTTAAAGTGTTTTGGTTGAATCAGTTAGCAAAACCTTCATAGATCAAAAGAATGGTAAAATTAATATCCAACATGGAAAATAAAACAAGTCTGAATCAATACTAGACTGAAACTGGCCCTCACCCGTTCCAAGGCCAGGCCGACCTCATATCATTTAACAGCACTCATTCAATACAGCACAATTACAGCAGCTGAAGCAACAAGCACCCACCAATATCTCATATAACTCAGACCACCGGCTCAGTTTTTATGGTTGCATTTTGCATTACCCGGACATGAGGCCGTGCATTTCAAGAAACCCAGATTCTCAGGGGACTGTGGGCGGTGTTTTTCTTTACCATAAAAGAATGACCAGGTGCTTTGATGAAATTGCAGAGGCCATGCACAGCTGGCTGTAACGGATGAGGGTGGGGGTGAGATGGCAGGGCTGAAGGAGGTAGACTCAGAGCTGAGAGCCCACCTCAGAGAGCTCCATCTGTTCCCTCCGTCAAGTCCTGATGGGCAGGGGTTCCCGTGCCAAGACCCTGCTGGATGCCCCTCCTACTGGCAACACACACACACACACACACACACACACACACACACACACACACACACACACACACACACACACACACACACACACACACACACACACACACACACATATAATAATACAAAATAAATTTTAAAAAAGTAACGCCATACACACTACCGCCAGGACAGGAGCTCAAACAAACAAACATAAACATGTACACACACAATCACTCTACGACTGTAATTGAAAATTGCACTCAGGATGTGGCTTGTCAGAAAATGTAAGAACTCATTTTTCCACCGCTCCATCATCCTCTTGTCCTTGACCTCTTGACCTCAGGGCCAGAGGACTCGCACTGACTCAGCAGGGGAGCAAAGGTTCAGCCTCTCATTCGACCGGGGAATAACCGTCTGCTTTTGATGCAGCTTTACCACGGAAGCCACATTTTAATTCACCCACACAAACAACGGTTGGGACTTTTCAAAGATGACACTCTGTCATCTCTCATGGAGGAAAAAACGCTTCAGTCTCATCTGCAGCGGCTAAGAGGATTTGTCTCAGCGAGGTGCCTCTGCTGTAAGTTTTAAATCACTGTTGACACCAGAGTTTCTCCCTGGATTAGATCTCCAGTTTCATTACGATAGCATCTCCTGCTGAATTGATAGAAGGTGGCTTTATCATTTGACACTAAAATGTTTCCCTTCCCCGTGCCAGACTGAAATTAATTCCAAGTTAAAAGAGACTTGTGTTGCCTGGATGTAGGACAGCCATATATTGCCTTTTGGAGTAAAGCGATAAAAGGCTTCCTTTGAACTTGCACGTCAATTAGTACTTCTCCGTAGATTTGATCTATTGTTTTTTAGAAGTGCACGCTGTGTGGGTGGACACCATTGTGTTCAGAGCTGCATGTGTGACATACAAAGATACAAGCGTGGAATTGACTGCTTGGTACAATTAGTTTTAGAGCTACAGTATGAGGACAGTGTGTGAATGTAGCCGAGTGGAAAGCCTACCACAGTGTGGATATATTTTGGTGTGATAGTGTACATTTTCAGAACATTTGCAAAAGTTTGAGAAAATCTGCCAATGCTGGTGGCATGCATCACTGTGTCTTTTCTGATTCTACTTTTAAAGAGACATTGTTGCTGTACTGCATGTGTGTGTTACACAGCACATCAAGTCGTACAAATTAGGTTTTA